CCGCCAGCCCTTTCTCAGAACTCTGCCCCCGGGAGAGCTGGCGGGACCAGGGGCGGAGGGAAGCGTGCATGGAAACACGGCGGGCAGCCAGGGTGGCAGAGAGAGCTCCTGGGAGCATAGCGGGGGTGGCCTTGGCTCAGCCTCTTCGGGCCGTCCCCAGGGCACGCGTGGAGGCGAGGGCAGGAGGAGGAGACGGATGATGACGAGGAGGAGGAGGAGGAGAAGGAGGAGGAGGAGGAGGAGGACAACGAGGAGGAGGAGGAGGAGGCGGAGGAGGACAACGAGGATGAGGACATAGCCATCAACATCGCCATTGGCAGTCTTCTTGGAACTCTCTGGGGGAACTTAAGATCCTCTTGATGCACTTTCTACTGGTCTTGTGGCCCTCTTGTGGCCCTCTTGGAGCCCGCTTAGGGGTCCCTTGAGGGCCTCTTGGGGCCATCTTGGAGGCCATCGATCAAATGTGGATGATCTTGAATTTTTGCCCCCTCCACTCTGGGGCCATCAACATCGTTTCGTGGGTCTTTTGGAACGCTCTTGGGTCTACCTCGGGCGCTCTCTGGGTCGTTTTGGGGGCCTCTTGGGCCCCTCTTGGGGCTCTCTTCTGGCATCTTGGGACAGTCTTGCCGCCTCAAAAGCGCATCGGAAGCAAGCAGGTGAGACGGCAGCAATCACTTGTTTTCTTCGGATTCTTGGCAGATTTTGGCTTCTTGAGGGATCTTGAGGATGCTCCGGAAGCATTTGGAGCCGTCTTGTGGCCTTGTTCGGGCCTCTTGGAGGCATGTCGGAAGCTATCTTGAATTATCTTCGGCTATCTTGAGCCGCCTTTCTCGCCCATCTTGGGCGAGAAAGGACCCCCTGCCAGCTCTCGAGCTCCTCAAACAAACCCAGAGAGGGGAGGGGGATGGTACCCCTCCCCGAAGGGAGGAGGGTCTTAACATTGGAAAGAAAGGACTCGTTAGACCACCTTAGCCCAAAGGGCTGGTGGGATTCGATGCCCTCGTGGGTCGGCTGCCACGGACTGAAGAATGACGTTCGCTTCTGGACAATTCGGTTATGGGGCAGGAGGGCCCGAATGGACCCGAGGCATCGCATGCATGCCCACCTGTTTCGGATCGACCGCAACTCGTGCCCTCGAGTGAGGGGCGGAACCCTCGCATGTACGCTGGGGCGAGGCTGGGGCGCGAAAGGGGCAGGGGAAGGGGGAGTCCCAGGAAAAGGTTCCGCCCTGTAACGCTGCAGACAATTCCTCCAGGCTGGCCGGAAGCCCGCTCATAGGGTAAGCCAGTACAGCGGGAGAGCCTCCATTCCCCGCAGCCGCTTCCGCCCTTTTCAGCCTCGCTCGGTCGCGAGTCGGCGTCGCCCGACTCCAGAGGATGAATGCAGAAGCGGGATGAGTATGATGCTGAGGGTGCGGATGATGATGAGGATGATGCTGCTGATGATGATGATGATGCTGATGATGATGTTGATGCTCATGCTGCTGCTGATGATGCTGCTGCTGCTGATGGAGATGATGAGTATGATGAGTATGATGATTACGATGATGGTATTGATGATGCTGGTGAGGATGCCGCTGATGCTGATGATGATTGATGCTGCTGATGCTGTTGACGCTGATGATGATGCTGAGGACGTTGATGCTGATGATGCGTCTGCTGTTGCTGATGATGCTGATGCTGATAATGATGATGCTGATGCTGCTAAGGATGATGATGTTGATGATGCTGAGGATGCTGATGATGATGATGCTGATGGTGATGATGATGCTGCCGCTGATGACGATGATGATGCAGATGATGCCAATGCTGACGCTGATGATGATGGTGACGATGATGATGATGTTGATGATGATGATGATGATGATGATGATGATGAGGATGATTATGCTGATGATGATGATGCTGCTGATGATGATGATGCTGATGCTGATGATGTTGCTGATGATGCGGATGCTGATGCTGATGATGACGATGACGATGAGGATGATGATGCTGATGCTGATGCTGGTGCTGATGACGATTATGATGCTGATGTTGATGATGATGATGCTGATGATGATGCTGATGTTGATGATGATGATGATGATGATGATGACGATGATGATGATGATGATGCTGATGATGATGCTGATGATGATGATGATGCTGATGATGATGCTGATGATGATGAGGATGCTGATGATGATGATGATGATGATCATGATGATGATGATGCTGATGCTGATGCTGATGATGCTGATGATGCTGATGATGATGATGATGATGCTGCTGCTGATGATGATGATGATGATGATGATGATGATGATGATGATGATGATGATCTGGAGGCGGAGGAGGAAGAAGAGGCGGAGGAGGATGAAGAGGAGAGGGTGGGAAGAGGGGAAGGAGGAGCGGAAGGAGGAGTGGACGGAGGAGGAGGATGAGGATGAGGAGGAGACGGGTAGGAGGATGAGGAGGAGGAGGACGAGGAGGAGAAAGATGAGGAGGAGGAAGAGGAGGCGGAGGAGGAGGAGGAACAGGATGAGGAGGAGGAGGTGGAGGAGGAAACATGTTAGTAATACTAATACGATTAGTAAGAATATAAAGAACCTAATGCATGCGAGTAGTAATACAGTAGAATACAATGAAGAAAAACATAGAGTAAGAATAATACGAATAGTAAGGGACATACTACTAATCATACTATTAAGCAGATTTTGTCGAATACTAAGACGAATCATACTGATAGTAATGAGATTACGGGGAAGAGTAACTTCACCAACACTAATAATAATAGCAGTGGGAATAAGAAAGAGACGACCCACCATACGAATAATCAGAACACTGCGACGAACACGAAACATACTAATCCTCATAATAAGAATAACGAACGTCGTACTAATACGATGCATCATAATACATATACTAGACATGCTAACTGGTCGTAATAAGAACACGGAGACTACTAGTAGTAAGGTTACGAACATAACAAACAAGCATAATAACCGTACTACTAAGAATAATCGTGTTAATTTTAAAGGAGGAGGAGTAGGAGGAGAGGAGGAGGAGACGAGGTGAAGGAGGAGGTGGAGGACGAGGAGGAAGAGGAGGAGGGCGATGCTGATGATGCTGATGATGCTGATGCTGATGCTGATGCTGATGCTGATGCTGCTGCTGATGACGCTGATGATGCTGATGACGATGCTGATGATACTGATGATGCTGATGATGATGATGCTGATGCTGACGATGATGATGCTGCCGATGATGCTGATGATGATGCTGCTGCTGATGATGCTGCTGATAATGATGATGATGCTGATGCTGATGCTGATGCTGATGCTGATGATGATGATGATGATGATGATGCTGATGATGATGATGATGATGATGATGATGATGATGATGATGATGATGATGATGATGATTATGAGGAGGAGGATGATGCTGATGATGAGGATGAGGATGAGGATGCTGCTGATGATGATGATGCTGAGGAGGAGGAGGAGGAGGAGGAGGAGGAGCAGGAGGAGGAGGAGGAGGAGGAGGAGAGGAAGAAGAGGACGAGGAGCGGAAGGAGGACAAGTGCGCGCACCTAAGGAATCCTTCGAGAAGCACTGCGCGCAGGATCCCAGGAGAGCCGTGGCCCACAGCCGTTCATGGGAGAGGGGGGGAGAGGGGAAGTGGGGAGGACACTGCAGGAACGGGGGAGAGGGGAAGGGGGGGAGGGGAGAGGGGAAGTGGGGAATTGGGGAGGGGGGGAGAGGGGAAGTGGGGAGGGGGAGAGAGGAGAAGTGGGGAAATAGGAGGGGAGGTGGGGGAAACGGGTTGAAGTAGGAGGAAAAAAGGGGGGAAAGTGATCGAACGGGAGATCAGGGGAAGGGGAGAAGGCGGAGGGCGCGCAAGCCGGGGGGGGGTGGGGGGTGGGGGAGAAGATTCATCCGACCGCCTTGCCGAGTGTTGCTCCCCGCCCCCGCCGGCTCCCCGCCCTCCCACCTCCTGGAGGATCAGTCCGACCGCCCGACCGACTCCCCCCTCTCTCTCTGGCGTCCCCGCGAGGAGGACGATTGTATGATCGTTGGCACGCAGGCGTCTTTATGGTGGTCGTAGTAGTAGTAGTAGTAGTAGTAGTAGTAGTAGTAGTAGTAGTAGTAGTAGTAGTAGTAGTAGTAGTAGTAGTAGTGGTAGTAGTAGTAGTAGTAGTGGTAGTAGTAGTAGTAGTAGTAATAGTTATGTATTGTAGTTGTAGTGGTAGTGGTTGCGATTGTGGTAGTGGTGGTGGTGGTTCTTGTTCTTGTTGTTGTTGTTGTTGTTGTTGCTGCTGTTCTTGTCGTTGTTGTCGCTGTCGTTGTCATTGTTGCTGTCGTTGTTGTCGTTGTCGTTGTTGTCGTTGTCGTTGTCGGTGTCGTTGTCGTTGTCGCTGTCGTGGTTGTTGTTTGTGCTGTTGCTTTCTAGTGTTTTTTTTTTCTGGTTCTGTTAGTTCTTCACGTTTTCATTGAGACAGGAGAATCCGACAAGCAGCAACAAGCAACGGCACGCAACAAACACTCAGAGTCCGGGCCACGTAATCCCACTGCACCCGCGCACCCAGGGAGGGTGCACGACAGTTCGGCCCTCCTATTCTGACTAGCGGGCCACAGACGCCCTCCCGCTCCCGCCTCCTCGCCCCCAACGCGTGCGCGCGGCGGTTGCCGTCGAGTTTGATTAGTAAAGCGACCCTGCCAAATCAAAATCATGGGCACCCCTGTGTCCTGTGTTCAGCGGCCCACGCTTCTACATTCCAATGGCAATGTGGTTCTCGGAGGGGTCTCGTGTGCTCTCGCGTGCCCTCACCAACCGAACTCGACTGTGCAGGATGTGTGGATTGGGATGTTCGTCCAGCTTTTCCTTGGGGCTCCCAAGGGTCTGCTGGACCCGGAGCCTGCGCGGCGAGCTCCCCCGCCCTCTTCCCGCAGCATGGGCGGCCTGGTCGCGTGCGACTGCGAGATCGCGAACGACGAGGGGCTCCGCCCGCTGAGGGTCCAGCGCCCCGCTCTTGCATCGCGTCGTCGGCGTCGCACTCGTCGCAGGTGCATGATGATGATGCTGAGGAGGAGGAGGAGGAGGAGGAGGAGGAGGAGGGAGGGGGAGGAGGAGGGAGGGGGAGGAGGAGGAGGAGGAGGAGGAGGAGGAGGAGGAGGCTGAGAAGATGATGATGACGCTGATGATGATGATGATGATGATGATGATGATGATGATGATGATGATGACGATGTTGTTGATGATGACGATGCTGATGCTGATGCTGATGCTGATGCTGATGCTGATGATGATAATGATGATACTGATGCTGATGCTGATGCTGATGATGCTGATGATGATGCTGATGGCGCTGCTGATGATGCTGCTGGTGATGATGATGGCAATGACGATTATGATGATGATGATCATCATGATAATGCTGCTGCTGATGATGATGCTGATGATCATATGATGCTGCTGATGATGCAGATGATGCTGATGATGGTGGTGGTGGTGATGCTGCTGCTGGTGATGGTGATGATGATGACGCTGACGAATGGCGATGATGATGCCGATGATGGTGGTGGTGGTAATGCTGGTGCTGGTGATGATGATGCTGATGATGAGAACCCCGATGCTGCTGATGATGCTTCTATTACATGGTGATGGTATTGACGGTGCCGATGCTGCTGATGACGATTGTGGTGTTATGATGGCGACTACCATGATGTGCACCATGATGATCATGACGATACAAACGATTCTGATGATGATGCTGCTGCTGCTGCTGCTTCGGCTGACGATGATAAGGATGATGACGATGCTGGCGATGATGATGATGATGATGATGATGATGATGATGATGATGATGATGATGATGACGATGTTGTTGATGATGACGATGATCATGATGATGTTGATGCTGATGATGATTATGCTGATGCTGATGCTGATCATGATGCTGCTGCCGATGAGGATGATGCTGATGATGATGATGCTGATGCTGCTGATGCAGAAGAAGATGATGACGATGCTGATGATGAGGCGGGTGATGATGATGCTGATGCTGGTGATGATGGATGCTGCTGCTGATGATGATGCTGATGATGATGATGATGCTGATGCTGCTGATGATGATGATGATGATGATGATAATAATGATAATAATGATGATGCGGACGACGATTACGATTACGATGACGGCGATGCTGCTGCTGTTGTTGTTGTGGCTGTTGTTGTTGATCATTATGCTGATGATGGTGACTTGGAGGATGATGACCGCGATCAGTAAACCGAGGATGACGATGCTGATGACGAGGTGGAGGAGGAGGACGAGGAGGAGGAGGAGGAGGAGGAGGGCAAGGATATGATATGCCATTAAATGTGATGGATGAGGAGATGAGAGGGAGGAGAAGGAGGAGGAAGAGGAGGAGGAGGAGAAGGAGGAGGAGGAGGAGAAGGAGGAGCGTGACGAGGATCCACATGGGTTGTTTAATGAGAGGCACAGTTCTGTGGATGGCCGGGAAGGTTCAACGGCTGCGGCCGCCATCGCCCCCCTCCTCCCAGGCCGCCGCCAAGTCGGCGCACCAGCGACGGAGCATTGGGCCGAGGCACCCCCAACGGCTTTTCGTTCCTGGTGAAGGAGACCCTCAAATCTGGGCAAAACCGGGTGACGACGAGCAGCGCTACCAGCACGCCCCCGCCCACCCCAGGAAGATCGTGATGTCGAGCACCGCCCTCTCATCTCGGCAACTCTGGGCCGCAGTCGCTCCCAGCGCTGCGTGCAGAGTGGCAATGAGCAGACCTGGGCAGCTGACGGATCCGCCTGCAGGCCACACGCCGCAGGGCCGGAGAAAGCCCCTCGCCGCCCTGCATCGCCTGGACGGCCAGCGCGTGCCCCTCTGGTCTGGGCATCGTGAAGAGAATCACATTCCCTACTCAGAACGATGAAAGTGAAAAATGATGTTTTTCAACGCGCTTATTCTGGCCCCCGGGGAGTCGCCGAACCCCGGACTAGCCTCGCTCTGGCTGAGCGCCTTGGGCCTATACAGTTTCGGACTCGCTCACTCCCGCACTTGTGGAGAAAGAGAGCCGCCACCATCCTACGCCATCCAACCTTCATACATTACAAGTCGCATGTGAAAACGTCCAGCTCAGCCCCGTCGTAAAGAGAACCACAACCGCTACTCGGTGGGTTTTCCTGGAGTGCCCCTCGGGGGAGCACCCGCCGACCTCGGCACGAACGCTTCGGTTGTGGCCGTGGCCGACCTGGGCTCGATGAGATTTGGGCCGCCTGCCGTCCTCGCGCTCAGAGGAGTAGGAGGAGGAGGGGGAGGAGGAGAAGGAGGAGGAGGAGGAGGGGGAGGAGGAGGAGGAGGAGGAGGAGGAGGAGGACGAGGAGCGAGGAGGGAAGAGAGGAAGGAGGAGAGGAAAGAGGAGGAGGAGGAGGATGAGAGGAGAGGAGGAGACGAGGAGGAGGAAGAGGAGAGGAGGAGGAGGAGGAGGGGGAGGAGGAGGAGGAGGAGGATGATAACGAGGATGATGATGATGATGATGGTGGTGGTGGTGGTTGATGATGATGATGATGATGATGCTGATGCTGATGCTGATGATGATGAGATGATGAGGGATGATTGATGATGAGGATGAGGATGATGATGATGAGGATGAGGATGATGCTGAGGCTGATGCTGATTGATGATGATGATGATGAGCTGATGTATGATGATTGATGATGATGAGGATGATGATGATCTGATGCTGATGCTGATGCTGATGATGACGATGATGATGATGATGATGATGATGATGATGATGATGATGATGATGATGGATGATGAGAGATGAGATGATGATGATGATGAGGGAGGAGGAGGATGAGAGGAGGAGGAGGAGGAGGAGGAGGAGGAGGAGAGGAGAGGAGGAAGGAGGAGGAGGAGGAGGGGAGGAGGAGGAGGAGGAGGAGGAGGAGAGGAGGAGGAGGAGGGAGGAGGAGGAGGAGGAGGAGGAGGAGGAGGGGGAGGAGGAGGAGGAGGAGGAGGAGGAGGAGGGGGAGGAGGAGGAGGAGGAGGAGGAGGAGGAGGAGGAGGAGGAGGAGGAGGAGGACACGCTAGGTGCGCTCGCGTCATGTCTGACGTATGGCGTAGATTCCCTTGCTATTCGCACAATCGGATGTCGTAGCATGGCATATCATTACATGGCATAGCATGGTTTCGAATCTCATCGCGTAGCATGACCTAGCATGGCGTGGCGACGCCCCAAAGTGGGGGGTTTTCTGCGGCCCCAAAAATTCAACTAATCGACACCGAATGTTGTAGTCACTTCCGATGGTTTTGTTTGTCGGGGGTACAGTTCTAGATATTGGGGCCTATTTTGAAGGACCGAAAACCATGTCGGGGCATGGCACTCGAAATAATAACGTCAGCGCTGCAGCGGGAGCACGATTCGGAACGAGCGGACTCGCGGACATGAGGCCAGCGCTGCAGTGGGAGCACGATTCGGAACGAGGGGTAGCCCGACAATGAGGTCAGCGCCTCAGCGAGAGCAGCAGTTTGAACAAAAACCCAATCGCGGAAGCGCGGAAATGAGGACGCGTAGCCTGACATAGCATGGCATGGCGTGATGACGCCCCAAAGTGGGGGGGCTTCTGCGGCCCAGCAAATCAACGAATCGACACCGAATGTGAGTCACTTCCGATGGTTTCTTCCGGGGTCCATTTTCGAAACTTGGGGGCCCATTTTGAAGGACCGGAAACCATGCCGTGGCATGGCGCCGGAAATAATGACGCCAGCGCTGCAGCGGGAGCACGATTCGGAACGAGCGGAAACGCGGAAATGAGGCCAGCGCTGCAGCGGGGACACGATTCGGAACGAGCGGAAACGCGGAAATGAAGCCAGCGCTGCGGCGGGAGATCGGTTCGGAACGAGTGGAAGCCCGAAAATGAGGCCAGCGCCTCAGCAAGAGCAGCATTTTGAAACAAAAACACAAGCGAAAACCCAACTCGCCGACATCCTGTGTGGAAAAAGCAATACGCGAGGGGGGGTCGAACACTCCGAGACAAATTTCGCCCCAGTTGAGTAATTGTGGAGGAGGAGGAGGAGGAGGAGGAGGAGGAGGAGGAGGAGGAGGAGGAGGGAGGAGGAGGAGAGAGGAGGAGGAGGATTGGGAGGAGGGGGAAGGGGGAGGGAGAGGAGGGGAGGAGGGGGAGGAGGGGCAGGGGGAGGAGAGTAGTATTCATATTGAGTAATTGTGAAGGAGGAGGAGGAGGGAGGAGGAAGGAGGAGGAGGAGGAGGGGAGAGGAGGAGGAGGAGGAGGAGGATTGGGAGGAGGAGGGGGAGGAGGGGGAGGAGGGGGAGGAGGAGGGGGAGCCTTCACGTGCGTGCCGCCGCGCGCCCGCGGTCTCGGCGCGTGCGCGCGCAGCGGGGGCTCCCTCGTGCTTGACGTCGCTCTTTCGGGCGGCGAGGTGCGTAGAAATCCACTGCGCCCTGGCCAGGCCCGAAGACACCCCAAGAGGCACCCCGAGAGAGCCCAGATAAGCACAAATCTTAGATTTCCGATGGGAAAACTGTCATTTTTGGCGTGTTCGCTTTTTGGGCTTCCACTGCGTCCAAGACGCCCGTCCCCAGAAATGGTCGCGTTGCAAAGCCATCTGGACGGGAGGCTCTTGGCTATTCTCGGCCCCGGGAGGCCCTCGCCGGGCCTCGGGGCCGTCGAGCAGTGCCGCAGGACGGCAAGCCGGTCCCGGGGTGCGGGTCGGGACTTCCAGGGGCGCCGTCCTGAAGAAGTCAGGCCGTCGCACGTCTGGGTCCTGGACCCAGGAGCTGCGTATGCGCTCCCTCCTGGCCAAGCCAGGAGGGCGTGGCGCATACGCCGCTGCCAGGCTCAGGATGGGCCGGGCCAGGGAGCAGTGGACGTGTACAGATCTCGCCGCCCTAGTCGTGCTCGACGTCGTTCTCGGGAAGTTAAGTGGCCACCCGAGCGACGGAAGCAAGCGGGCACTGGGGCGTAAGCTGCCCGC